GKTTTKGRMCMWKRARSCMWTTKSMAAAWAAATGGGRGRAAAAAGATAAAAAGAGAGAAACAATTAAGAAAATAAAATGCTACAATGACAAATTGTTCAGCACATCAGAGAGAAAAGAAGGAAGGGATAACACTGTTCATAGCAGAGTGGGCTTTGATTAAGGAAACAGGCTCAGGTTCTTGTTTGCTCCAGCACCTTGCAAACAGCAAACACTACAAAAGCTTGAAGCAAATCCCCTGCCCTTCCTCTGCACAGGAAAGCTGTTCCCAGGGTGACAACAAGCTGAACAGTCARTCCCTCACCTGCTGCAGGTACCCTGCCCTTCTCAGGGAGGGTGAGATTTCATGGATTTATCCCAAGTGAAAAGCTGAATGCCTTCAGCCACAGAGGACAGCACCAGCAGAAGGTAAAACACACACAGCAAAGCAGCAAAAGGAACAATTCCCATCCTTCTGCCCYTCACCTTCTGCCCTCCATGGCTGTGGGTGCTGCCAGCTCATCCCCTCAGTTCCTGCCTTGGGAAACTCCTGCCTGCTGAGATTGTCTCTGTTCCATCACTGACAGCAGCAGAGAGGAGACTCCAACATCAACAAAGCTCAAAATTCCTGACTCACTCCGTGTGTTAAGCCCTGTCCATGCTCCACTTTGGCACCAATGAATTTGGTGGAGTTACTCTGCATGGGCCAATTTTTAAGGCTCCAAGAAGAGAAGCCCAAGAGGGACAGATCCAAAAAGACAACTTTGGATTCTATGTGATCACATCTTGGACCTCCCCATCCCTACCTGCAGAGTGAGCTTCTCCAGCTTCATTTCCAGGGTTCTGTTCTCCTCTGCCAGCTTGCTGCGYTCAGCCTCCAGCTCCTCAATTTTCAGCCTGGGGAAGAAGGGAAAATTAATAAACTTTGGATGTCTTTGCACAGTCCCACCATGAATAATCAAGTGAAGTATGAAATCAGAAACAGTATCAGWTTATTCCTGCAYTCAGTGCCATAAAATTACACCACCRAGGMAGCTAAAACACATGGCTAAAAGTRAMATGTTTAGATGATGAGAATATAATTTGTAAAAGTATATTTAAAATATATAAAAATATACAAGTATATTTAAATATACAACTTGGATACCTCCTGAACCACAGCCTGAGTCTAGACCATCGTGTTTAATAACCACCAAMAGCTAAAACCTCTATGAGGCACCAAATCTCTTTTTGATCTGATTTATACTTTTGGCCTTCACAACACTCCTTGGCAGCAAGTTCCACAATTTAATTATGTGCTGTATGAAAAATTAGTTCAGTTTGTTTTATACTTCACATGTGATTATTTCACTGAGCGCCCGTTAGTTCTGCTGTGAAAAGTCGTGAATAATTTCACCACACTCCTGTCTCCACACAATAAAGGCCTCCTCTGTTATTTCCTGAAAAACCTCAGTTAAGTCTTCCTTCACAACAAGGATTYTCCATATTTTTATTGTTCTTCTTTATTCCTTCAAGTTTAATTCAGACTTTTTGCCATGAAATAAGCTGTAACTACAAACAGCATTCACAGATATTCAGTAGTACAATGAGCATTTCTGCTTTATTCTAAACTTCCTTTCCAATAACTTCTAGTATTCTATTTGTATTTCTTACTAGGGAGATATTTTTAGAAGGCTGTTCACAATAATGTGAGATCTCTTTCCTGAGTGACAACAGCTCATCCAGAGCTCTCTGTTGTGGCAGTAAAAGTAAAGGTGTTTTTTTTCTTGTGTGCATGGATTTGGCAATTAGTGACATGCAACTTCAACTCCCATCTCAAGCAGCATCATAAGCTTTCTTCTGAAATTCTGCATGCTCTGATAGGCTGAATAATTTGATATTATCTCAAATTCTCACTACCTCATTACTCACAAACCCCTTTTTTGTGCTGGATAAGGTCCCAATCAAAACCATTCTAGGACCAAGTGGAAAAACCCTCGGCATTGTGAAAACATTTATGCTTTGGTTTTCCATATTTTAACTTTGTATTACATAAGCAAATTAATGGGAGAAAAATGCATGAAGTTTTGCAAAGTAAAAATATGTTATGTTATCTCTGGCTGAGGAAATCCTGGAGACAAGGCACCAGAAGCCAGGAGAGCCCCCTGGCAAGGTATCCAGCCAGACCCCTGGGGTTTGTATATTCTTATCAACCCAACAAAGAATCTCCWTTTTTATTCCACCAAAGTTGCTTTGTGACCTCTGGCTYAAAGCTTTTTGAAAGGTCAAATAYMTTARATCAACCTTAGACAAATGAYTGGTGAATCCTTCAGAGAACTCTATCACACTTGTTAGGCAGGAGATTATATATAAGATTGGATATTAAAATTTTGCTTGCATTAAAGTACAGAGTACAAAACTTTGATGCTCTTTCAAAACCCTCCCCTTCCACATGTTAACTTCTTGGGATTATTTGTACAACTAATACAGAATCAATTGATCTTTGGACTCAGTTTTCTCAGGATCCTTTTCTCAGAATATTCTTTAAGAAAATTAATTATCTTGCTCAATAATACTCACTTTTAAATGGTCTAAATCAAGAAAATCCTTGCCCCATCATGATAAGGAATGCACTTGTCTGCCAATATCCGAAAATTATGCAACAGCAATTTCAGATACAAGGAAAAAGTCATCTCTCCTGTTCATTTGGCCACAGTTCCAAACTTTTCCATAGAAGCAGGTTGCTCTGCATCATGTTCAGCACAGAAATGTCTCCTTTATAAATATGCAGCTCGGATTGCTTAAATTATTTGTAAGCCTGACCCCTGCTGGCAATTTTCAAATATTATAAAGTATCATCTTTTACCACTCTTRGAAGCTCCTAAAACGCTGAGGAGCAGTTTCAGCACTGTCCGGGCCATTAAAAAATCTCATCAATAACTTTCAGAAGAGACACAAAGCTAGTGGGGATGGAGGATGCTGGAGCAGGAGACTGAAAAGGTCAGGAAAAATGGAAATTCAAAGTGGAATTAATGCTTTTAACGGCGCATTTCTAAATGGATCGCAGAGCAGGCCGYGAGAAAAGCAACGCTCTCCTCTGAGGAACAACAGCCAGCAGCTCCTGAAAGGTCAGAGCCAGACACAGGACTCTCATCAGTGCTTTGCCCATCCTTGACACGCTGAATTTTAATTGGGAACAAATTTCTCCCCATCCAGCCTCAAATAATCTGATGCTGCTGTTGTCTGCCTGCAGAAATTGTCTCTGTGGGGAGGTTTGAGCTCAGGTCTCCCAGCTGCCCTTTGGAAATYGTTCAGAAAACACTTCCCAAAGCCCTGAGACAGGGCTGTAATGAGGGGGGATCCAAACCATTCCAATTTTGTCGTGTTTCACCTGCAATTTGGGAATTCAATAATCTGTTGGTGCCCTTTGTGCCTCGCTGCTGAGTGAGCCCGGTTCTCACAGAACCCTGGAATGCTTTGGGCTGGCAGGGAGGTAAAAGTCATTTCATTTCCCACTCTGCCATGGCAGGGACATTTCCACTATCCCAGGCTGCTCCAAGCCCTGTTCAGCCTGGCCTTGGACACTTCCAGGGATGGGGCAGCCACAGCTTCTCTGGGCAGGGAGGAGTTTGTTCCCAAAATCCCATCAAACCCTGCCCTGTGTCAGTTTGAACCATTCCCCCTTGTGCTACCACTGCCTGCCATGGTCAAAAACCCCTCTCCAATTCTCTTGTAGCCCCTTCAGGTACTGAAAGGCCACCATAAGGTCACCCTGGAACAGCACAAACTCTTTGCTAATGGCTCTGAATGCTTTCCCACTGGAGATCTGGGACACTTAACAGAGTTAAGTTAGGACAGGGATAAATGGTGAAAGCACCAGTAAATCTAAAATCCTCCTGGTACAAAGAGGTTACAGTGATGTTCTTGGTCCTCAGTGCAGAGGAAGCACCTTTCTCCTCTTCTCCAGACTGAACAGCTCGGCTGGGATTGTTCCCACCCAGATCACCCACACCCTGACCAGCCACAGGCACAGGAGCACCCTGGATTTGAGGGTCACAGCCTCCTCCTCCTCCTCTTCCTCCCTGGACTCACCCCTCAGGATCTGCTCCTCCTCCTTTCCTGACACAATCAGGGTTTCCTGCCATGGTCTGAGCAAGGTCAGCCCCTGGTTCTCCTCCAGACACAAAACCCCTACACCAAGGAACCAGAACATCACTGGAACCTCTCTGTACCAGCAGCATTTCAGGACTGGCTGGTGCTTTCACCATTTATCCCTGTCCTAACTTATTTTTAACACTGTTAAGTGTCCTGATCTCCAGTGGGAAAGCGTTCAGAGCCATTAGCAAACAGTTTGTGCTATTCCAGCTCTGCTTCCCAGCCCCTGGGGAACGCTTCCCAATGGCACAGAGAGAGAGAAGCAAGGGAAATCCCATCTATATATAAACACAGCAAAGCATTTGCAGCTGGTGGTTAAGATATGGAAGTCAAATGTTGAAAAATATTTACTGGCTTGGCATTTGGATTTTTTTTTTTCCCATTTACACAAGTTCATGTAGAGGGATGATTTGTGCACCAGCATCCACAAAGGCAGCCTTGGTGCACACACCTCATGGAGAAACCTGCACAGGAGAGGTGATGCTATTTTATCACCAATTTGCAATTTTATAATGGATTACCTTCAGGTAGGGAGAATAACCCAAGACAAATTCATGTGAGAACCACAAAAAGCAGAGCAGAGAAATGCCTGGGTACAGCACAAGCATCTACCAGCTCAAATTTTGGCCCAGAATGGTCTGGATTAAAAGAAAACTTAAAGATTATTCAGTTCCAGCCCCACTACCATGGGCAGGGACATCTTCCACTAAACCARACTCTTCCAARCCCCATCCAACCTGGCCTTGARTGCTGGTTCTRTTCTAAAAACAGCCTGGTGCTGCAAGGAAGGAAAAAACATCAGTTACACTCTGAAATATCAACACCATTCTCAAGTTTTGTGATACAGGGAAAAAATCATTTGAATTAATTTCTGGAGAATTCATGAACTTCTCTATACAGGGGTTTGAAAACATGAAAATATTTAATCTCTCGCAAAGATCTCTTCACCTGTCTGAAAGATTTTTCCTGCATCAGACAGCCCAACCCAGAGCTGAAGGCTCCACAGGCATAARGTAAATTGATGCCACCTCCACAACCTTTCACAAGATCCAATTTAGTGCAAGAATACAGATTCACTGGCATTTGCTCAGGCTCGTGGATTTTCCCACTTTTTAAAACTGAGCTTTATATTGCCTCCACTGCATGTTTCATTATCTCTTCAAATCAGAAGAGGGAATGAGGAAAAAAAAAAAAAAAGCCACCTACAGCCTCAGGTCTCCTAAAAAGACACTTGGGAGAATCAGRAGACATCTCACCCTGTGTGTTCAGTCTGTCTCAAAACCTCAGATCGTGAGACAAGGCTGCTCCTACTTTAGAAAGCAGAAAAGGGGACAATCTGTTGGATTTCCAACAGCATCCAGGCACTCACTCCAAAAGCCTCTCTCAACCCAGAGCTTTTCAGCGGAATTAACCGGTGAAAACTCCCCCCCACCATCACCCTTTTATCTTTGTTTTATTGTTTTTTAATGTTCTCAGCTGTGTTGTGGGGTTGCCTGTGGGTATCACTGAGGCCCCATCTGCCAAGGGGACATGGCCATGTGGAAGAGCTGCTGCTGAACAGGAAACTACTGAATGGAGCAGAAAAATGTATGAGCTGGGAAGATGTTATTAAGGGATCCAGATGGCATTGAGATGGTGTTAGGAGCAGAGCAGACACAATTCCAGCAAGTGTGACTAATGGGCATTGGCAAGGACACGAATTTCTTTTGAATTACTGTAACTCTAACCAGCCACTAAATCCACAGAAAACATTTAGGATTTACTGGGGTTGCAGYTTGACAGCAGAAAGAAAAAGTTCAGATTTGTTCCAGCTGAAAAGGTCCCTCAGATGTTGCCACTTAAGTCTTCAGTGAAGTTCTTTTTAAATATATTCCTTTTATTTATAGATTCTGAAATAACAGTTTCTGCAGTTATCACCTTCCCTCTAAAAGGTGCTAATGCCCAAATGCTGTACCCTACAGTGCAAGAACTCAGTGGGCTGACCACTGCTCCTTTCCATAGGATCTGCAGAATATAAACAAATATTATTTCAGAGGGAGCAGCAAAAAGTGTGAGAAATGACAGCATTAGCACTGGCTTTTATTGTCTCTCCAGAAACGATGATGCTGGGAGAGAGTTTCACATTTAAAGTTATAAAARGTCTGACGAAATAGCACTTTGTTCTCAAGAGAAGGAGGAAAAACTGATAAAGTCTTTCAAGTTTCTGGCTGAAAATTTACTTTCCATACTAAAGAAAAATGAGACAAAAGATATATTTTTAAAAGCCCTCATTCACTCACAGGAGGTGAATACAGATTCAAAGGATTAATACGGATTTTTTTTTTTTTTTCCCCTCCTCTATGTCTCTCCTGCTTTTGTTTTCAGAAGTTAGCTCCCAGCCATGGGGTCTGGATGGAAATGCCTGGAGGCTCAGCAGTTCATTCCTGTTCTGCACACCCCTCTTGCTGGCTRCAGGGGTTTCTCCCTGTTTTTTCACATCCCTTTGTGACAGCAGCTAACAGGAGAGGCCGAGCTCAGCCCAGAGGAGCAGGCACACCATCCTGCAGGTTATGGGATTTCAAAGGCTACAATAAACTACAGAAATGGAAATAACTCCTTCGTAAGCTGTGACATTTATTTCCCCACTTTCCAATTTGGAAGTTTGAATCTTTCCTGCTTTTTTTTCCCCAGAATTTGATGTTGGCAGTGGTGTGTCGAAGGAAGGAGCAACCATGGAGTTGCATTGTTCTCTTCTCCTTAACAGCTACATAAAATTAAGTAAACTGGTGCTGCTGAGGCCTCCAGGAGGAGAATGAGCACAGCAGAACAATCCCTTCCCATTCTGATCCCTGCTGTCCTCCAAACCCATCCTGCTCTTTAATCACAGCTACCCAGTTCCTTCTGCACGGAGAGGACACCTCCAGCTGAGCCACCAGGAGTGCTCTGATGTGGATCCCAGAACGTTATTCCTGAACCCCAAAGGACTGGGAAAATGCAGTGATTCATTCTGTGTTCCTTTGAGARGGAGCCTCCACTATGAAGAAAGAACTTGGCCCAGTTTCTTGTCCAATGCACACAAAATACAAAATAAAGTCCAACCCTATCCATTGACTGCTTAAGTCTAGAAATATAAGAAAAKACTCTTTTTGGAGTTGATTCTGCAGTGTTTGTGGAGTGCTTGGGAGTGTGAGGAAATGTCTGAAGCAGTAACAGAAGCCAATATTAAAGAAAAAAAGAGCAGGAACTGTCTTACAGTGCTCCAGCAGCAAGAGAATGCCCTGCACCAAGTCATTTACTGTTCGAGCTAAGCAGTGAAAAGGGTGATCAAAACCAAACAAATCCATGCTTTGTGGAACAGCTCTGCAGCTAAATAACCAGCATCAAAGCCTGAGACAAGTATTCAAATCAGCCACAACAACAAAAAGTGGATCAGTAAGAGATGACAGAAAAAACCAGCCTGGAATTAGAACCCGGGACTGTAACTGCACTGCATCCACACCCCTGGGATCAAGGGAGAGAAAAAAAAAGACAAAATATCAACATGAAACAACTACAGAGGCTCGGCCTCTTTGCTAAATCAGCCTTCAGAACATGGCCCATGGCTGGAAAACAGCTCTGCACCATCAAACACCACGCTGGGAACTGGCCTGGGTTTGGGACACACTTTGTGTGGAAGTTGTGACACCATTTCATGGAAGGAGGTGAGACATGAGACTAGTAATCAAAGAAATTCCTTAAAACCGTTATCTAGGAGCTTCAGGGCTACTATTGAATCAAACACCACCATCCTATAACAAGGAGGGATTTKCCAGCTCCACTCACCCCTGCCCAGRAAATGGAYTTGAGTTCAGGGCAGTGCCAATGTCCCCATCCCCACTGCCACAACATGGAGTGGTCTGGACTCTGTGGAAATCCAGTTGTTTCCCCAAAGCTGCTCATTTAAGGGATGGCAAATGCTGTTCAGGGAAGCTAAACACCAAATAATGAGTCTTGGAGGGGAAATAGAGAGCCTGATCATCTTTTAGATGAAAGGGGGCTGCAGCAATCCCAACCAGGGAGGGAAAACTGGGGAGGCACTGTCAAAAAACTGCAAACCTGCAGGGCCAGAAGACAGCAGAGAGGCTGCTGGCTTTACTGATCCACAGGCACATTATAAATCAGGAGTGACAGGTTTAATGCTGCCCAGGAGGTGCTGAACCCTCCTGCAGCACTGTAAACCTCAGGTTTCAGAGGGTCCAGTGTGCCTTAGCAAAGGAAAAGCCTGAATGAGTTTAACAAACCCCTACAATAGGCAAAAAAATCTGGTGGAGACAGGTTTATCTCCCTGAAAAAGGGGAGTCATAGCATTCTATCTTTTAGCAGAACTCAAACATATGATAGAATAAAAAAAAAGAAAAAAAAGAGATGCATGTCCTGGGCCTCCAGAACTATTACAGCACCTAGAGGGAACTACAGGAACGAGTCCCTGAGATGAGGCGTACAGCCCTAAAATGTACTGGAATAGCTTAGCTGAACATGTGTTCTTTTCAAACACTCCCTCCTCCTATGGAGCTGGGCTTTCAGAGCTGTAAAACAAGCTCCAGAGGCAAAGCACAAGAGCAAAGCCATAACACACAGGCCAGTAATTTCTGCTTTCTGCACCATTCTGCTTGCTGCAAAACCTTGCTTTCAGTCCTACGAGGCAGCCACACTTTATTGTGATGGAGGTGAAAATATAAAAGAATTAAGAAGTACAACTCCAGCCAAAGTCTTACATTAGCTGAGAATAAAATACTCAGCCTGCCAGGACCTGATTTGCTCAACTTAAATAAAAGGAACTTTATTAAACATTCAGAAACAGATGAACTTTTCAGTGKGAAAAGTTCGGTTTTTATTGTGTCACCTGCTTTGCAATGGAAGCTATAAATGCTTTAATAAATACATGGAAAGATTGTTTGGCTTCACTGTGGCTTTTGTAAATGCTCATGTATTCTCTGCTGAAATGCTGTTTTGTTACCACTCTTTCACTGAATCACAACAGGTACCCCTCTGCCATCTCCAGCAAGGCACAAGGGGAAACATCCCTCTTTTATCTCCAGTGCTACACATGCATCAGCAGCACAAAAGCTGGATTCTGAACCCCTTCACACACATGCCAACAGATCCTGTGTTTACAGGCGAGATTTGGTCAAAATAAGGAACAAACAGCAATGCTGTTTCCATGGGAAAGAAAGCCAACAGGGGGAAAAGTGATGCAGGAGCCAGGCTTATGAATAAACTGACAGTAAAAGACCCAAAACATTCAAAGCAAAGAGCCTGAAACCTCCCAAATGATAACAAAGCTTATGAATTACCTAAATGCAGGACAGATTATGGGCTGAGTGTTTCTGCAATGCTTCATGGGGTTCTCATGTCTATAAAAACTGGTGAGAAAGTAAAACGTGTGCTCAGGAAAAGAACATTCTCCTCCAGGAATAGAAGGAAAACGTGTTCTGATGGATGGCACCACCCCATTGCCTGAACAGCAGGCAGCCCATGAGCACAGGCAGGTTCACACAACCTCCTTTGTGAACTGTGGCATGGGGAGCTCCTGCTGCTCCAGAAGGAGGGGACAATGACCAGAACAGGCACTAAAACCACCCTGGGCACTTCCCCTCTTGTGGCTCCACAGGGAAGAGCAGAATGTGCCCAGCTTTGCCCTTGCTCTGCCTACCTGAGCGTGTCCACCTCCTCCTTGGTGATCACCGTGCTCTGCTCCGCCGTGCCCTGCTGAGACTTCAGGAGCTTCATCTCCACCTCCAGCTGCAGGAGACAAAAGGCATTAATTCCTCTAAGGAGCACACACAAATTCCTCTAAGGAGCACAAAGCAAAGGGAGGGGGAAATCCTCAGGTTCTGCACAGATCAGGCTTCTCATGACACAGATGTGAAGCTCAACTTCTCTTATGTTTAATGTTAAATCCTCACTTATTTCTGCTTCCCCTCACAATTCCTTTTGCCTTCCCCAGCATTTTCTCCACAGCAGRTGAGGCACACAAAGTTGAATGTTATTAGCAAAGCTTCTGCTTCCTTTACAGATATTTCTCCTATTTTCCCTCATGGATAATAGGATGCAGAAGACTCTCTGTGGCATTGAAGCTCGCTGGTACCTGAATTTAGTATTGCCAGTTCAATCTCATTCAGTTCCTCCCCCAGAAGAAATGAACCACATGATTACTGTCCTGTCCACGACAGCTCTGAGACACARACACTGAACCCAACAGAGTGGGGAATATTTCCAGCACCTTCCAATATACACTTCCAGCTCTGGCTGCTCAGGTAGCTCTGGCTGAACAAACAAAYAATTAAGAATACTTTCTGCCTCTGGCCTTGTTTGGGAAGGAACTCACAAGAAAATATTTCCAAACTCTACAGACAGGAGAACTKCTTACCCAGACTCCACAATTCCCAGGCTCCCTGACTTGTAGCAGTCTGGATCCCTAATTCAGAGATCAAGACAATGCACAAGTTGATAAACTCCATATGTTACTTGTTTCTAAACCCCTCAGAAAATGACTTATTATGAAGTGTAAGCACAGACAAACTACCAGGAGGATACTSAAACTTCTGTTCCAACACCTTCTCCCAGCCTAGACCTCCTCCACACGCTCATCCTTGAGATTCTGGATTTCCTTTTGTCATCTGTCTTTTTACCACCTGTCGACTAATTCCCCTAATAAATCTGTCGACAGTAACTATACTTTTTCTCCCAGGAGGAAAATAATAAGCAAGCCAGCCTTAATTATAGATGCAAAACTTATGACCACAGAGAGTTCAGCGTTTGGCATCGGGGAAATAATCCATTAATACACCGTTCCCTGCAACAGCATAGATTAGACTGSTGGAGCAAAATCACCTTGCAATGGCAAACTTCTGCAAGTTTTTTTTGTAGAAACTCTCCTATTTTACAAGGAAAAGGAGCATCTTGTCATATTGCTCAGACAGAAGTGAAGTTCTGACACGCTACCTCCATGCTTACCAGAAAAGACGGGCAGAGCATGGCAGAAAAAAAGAGGAAAATGGATGGTTGGATTATTCTCCCACCCCTTTCTGACACTAAAAGAACATTGCAGAAGAAAGTGAGCATCAAAAAAAAGTTTCAACCTAATTCCCCCCCGGCACCCCAAAAAGCCCTGCATTCTCCCCCTGCCTGTCAGAAAAAACATCCAGGAATGAAAAATAAGCAAAAGCCCACCTGCATCATCAGGCTGTACAAATGTTAATGCATATTAGCTGCCTGATAAGATTATCACAGCCAGAAATGCTTCCCTCAATTTTCTGATTACTGAGCTTATCTCTCCCAGCTCAGCCCATCACAGATGGCTGGGGATAAAGCAAGCACACCAGATAATTCCAGGAATGTGAATAAAAGGTACTGGGATGAGGAGKAGGCTTCAATTCCAACCTACTTGTAGCAGGAAAACACTCATTACGCCTCCCGTTTCCCGTGTCTGCTGAAGCTTGGGTGTGTTTGCTGCGAGAGGAGTTTGGGGATGTTTTCTGGGGTGGGTAGGGCAGCATTTGGAGATGGAAGGGAAGGGTTGGGGAGTTTTTATCTCTGATTAAGAGGGCTCAGCCTTCATGTGCCACCTGCTCACCTACAGGAGCAGATAAATCACAGCCACCTTCTCAGGGGACGAAGGGGACATGGATGGGAGAGGGATCCCCTCTTTTTTTGGGAATCTTTTGGGATCTCTTGTGATGGCTGCACAAAGAGGGGAAAAAAACCAGAGTGGAACAAGAAAACAAGATGAGAGAGGATGCACACGAGCTGGAGGGAGCTTGTGATAAGCATCTCAGTTGATACACAGCAGTGACAAATTCGTGCCAGGTACGCTCAGAGAGGCACGAGGGGGTTTTGCTGGGTTTCTAAGAATAAGTTATTGAAGGAGAATGAGRAGAGAAGGGCACACGGGCTGTAAGGGCATTTCATCTCATTTTTATGTCCTCCCAATTTGCAAGCGCCAAGACTGCCTGGACTGAAAATCTGATGTGGCTGAGGTGAGAAGGGAGAGGAGGGCACAGGGATATCACTGCAGATGAAACTGGCTCGAGCAGAGAGCTGCTGACACCAATCTGCTTCCCASAACCAGGATAAAAACCACTGGAGAGTTTCAACTTCAGGCCGAGACTTTGTGCCACAGGAAATTATTGCCCTCCAGACCTCACTAGCTGTTTCTGAAATAAGAAAGTAAAACAATTAAGGTATTAAATACTTCATTCAAAATGTGTGATTTCCAGGCTTCATCCTTAGCAATTGTTAGGAAAACATCCCTTACTGCCAATCTCATTGAAGGTATTAAAATTGTCATTTATGCCTTTTCCAGGGCAAAAATAGTTGAGATGAGACACAGTGGTTTACTGTTGGGACCCAATTCTGCTTTTCTGAAGGCAACACAGTGCAAGCAAGACACAAAACAAGAACGAAGAGAACAGCAAAAAATCAGAATCTATTAATAAAGCCTAAGAGATGAGGAGGTTCCTGCGACCATTCCATTGGACACAGCCTCAGGATAGCCCTGGGAATGGGTGATGAGCATARAATAATTCACCAGTTTGTCCCTTCCTGCCCCTTTGTCCTCAGTACCTGTGCCAAAAAKCCTCAAGAAGGGATAAGGAGAGGAAGAGTCAAACCCCTCCTGCTGCTCTCTCTGCCTAATTCCCATCACATCCCTTTTCCTAAATTAATTTCCAGTCCTGGTCTCTCTTGTTCTCCACACACAACTTTGAGCAGGCATTTTATGCTTTTTGAACCAACCCGCTGTTCCTGGCTTAACTCTTCCAATTTTTATCAATAATTTTATGTAACTACCCAGAGTTAAACTTTTATTGCTTTGAATGCATTAAACTAGGAGAAGTCATTACCAAGCAGAGAGGGGAAAAGGGCTGCTCAAATTACAGTTCACTGCTGCATTCCCCCATTCTGTACCAAACGACCCAGGTCAGCCTTGATCTTTTAACTGGCACTGAGAGCAGACAGGGAACATTGTTGTGAAATACAGCATTGCATTTCTTATCCCAAAAACKGCACAAAAGGGACCTAGGGACCTCCAGAATCTGCAGGAACTGTATCACCCAGGATCAGACCCTCAGTGATATTCCCCCTGTAGGAATACATTAGCAACTTGAGAAGAAAACAAGCTGTTATTTTAATATTTTTTAAAGTTATCTATGATAACGATGGATAATGAGTAATATCAGAGCCCACGAATAAATAAAACACATGAACAGGTACTTAATATTTTGAGGATATGTTGTTCTCTTCTCAAAATATACTGGGGCATCTTGTTCTCAAACTAAAACAATCCCATTTATTCTGAACCTTTTCTACCCTCTTTAACTTCTTAAGCATGAATTCCAATCCAGTTTTATTGCTCTCAATAAAAAGTGATCAGGACAYGCCCAGTATACAGATTAATTTTAGAATTTGCCCATTGTCACAAATATGCAAGTACCCAAAAAGATGAAATGCAAATAATTTTTCCTAAATAAGTATTGACATCATTATTTACACCAAAGGAGAAATAGAGGAAGTAAGAGCATGGATGGATTTTCATCTGGTGTTTAATTATATGTAATATCATTCCTCTTTCAGCCTTRCTTTTAAACCTGCCTGGACAAGATTCCAAGAAGGTGGTTCTCCTCCAAGTGTTAATGACATAGCAAACACCCACAGCAGGGTAAGAAATATGTTCCTCGCTGCTTTTCTCTTCTGTGGCGAATATTTAAAGACATATGAGATGACAGGAGAAATAAAATTATAAAACCATCTCCTGACAGCTAGAAGAAAYAGAACTTTTCCTTCAGAGAGTTGATTTTTTTGGTACTTTCTGGCATTTGTCATTTGTGACCCATCTTTGTCCCCTCCAACCGAGTTCCCTCTGCAATGCCATGGATCTGTTGTGGCTCACACTCAACTCCAGCAGATTTCAGCTTTGAGAAAAGCTTTTCCAGAGCATTTCACTGACCACTGCTGTCCACCCTCCATCATCAGTGAGGCTATCACAGATCACATGAATCAACCTTGAAAACCACATTTACAAACTYCTGAAAACTTCAACGCGCTGCCCAAAAAGCAACGATCAAATCTCTGCTCAGGTGCCTCATTTTGGGTAATCAAGGACTCCAAATCTAAAGAATTTCAACTCACTGCTAAAGGAGTCACATCCTCACAACTAACTAGGATTTGCATGTTGAAAGAAAAAAAAGGGGGCTGGTTTACTCGCCCACATCATGTACACACATTTCACAGAACACATGCTGGAGACACACAGTTATTATTTGAATAATGAGTGCATTTTMGTGAGGGGCTGATACAGCAATCTCATCCTGATGAAGTGTGTCTGCACGTCATTCAGCATTTTTGGAACTGCAAAAAGGCAGGAAATGCTGAATCCATTATAAATGTCTAAAGGTTTCTTGAACAATGGGCTGATGCAACATCCTTTGAAAGGCCTTTCCTCAGCAAAAGGGTTGATTTGGAGCAGCAGTGATAAATGGGAACGGAATTGCACGGGGTCGGCGTGGAAAGGTGAACTGAGGGGTTGTGTTTGACTACAAGRCTCAACACAATCCATGCAGCTATTCCAGCACATAAATATTTAAAATGTATGAACACCAAGCAGGCGTGGGAAGGAAGAGTGAACAGTAAAATAGACAAGAACAGAGCAGTGGGACCCTGAGTATGACCTGTACAGAGGTTTTTAAACAGGCAAAGCAGCACCTTGATATGACAGTGATACCATTTGTGCATCCAAGAGAGGT